GTTGGCAGCGAGCTCTGTGGAATTCAAGAGATTAATTTCAGCAACAGTGACATTTTCACATCATATTCGATCTCCTGCGTGAATGGCCATAAATTAATCCAGTAGATAATGTTAGAAGGTGATAATCAGTATTTACTCCTCGGCACTAACTGCATCAGCCGCAGCTAGCTGGACCATAAATATTTGGATATTGCACCCAAAATCAGATAGGTTTATTTACTTCCAGCTAACAGCTTGAATTATTCTGACAATCTGAATAATAGTTGGGCATTTAAGATATAAAAAAAAATGATAATATCAGTGATTAAGAATGTTATAATGCTGGACAGAGTTCTATTAAAGATGGAACATCGTCAGACACAGTAACTAATCTTTGGAGCGGTTTGTTTTTAAACCCTCAGACGTTTTCAGGGAGTTTGTAACACTCGATTTGAACCTCGCTTCCAAAAAAAACCTGTCAGTGTAATTTACTAAGGGGAGAATTGTCATGTTTTAGACCAAACTAGCCAAGCTGAAAACAGCTTACTTGGAAAAGAAAATTTAATTCAGCAATTTTTGCTTAAAATGTAAAATTCTTGACAATTTCCCACCCTGTCAATATAAAGTGTCGGTGGAGGTTAGGAAGTTATTAGTGATATTTTCAAAAATTGTATTAATATCAAGGTGAAAGAAACAGTTAAATGTGCGGTAGGGATCTAAAGAAAGGTTCTGGGGAGCAGGAGAACGTTTCGTTAATAGGTGGGGGGAAGTCCAAGGATCTTTTAAAAGATAAAAGTTAGAGAGTGATGTGGCAAACCCCAGCAGGAACAAACGTCCACACAGAACTACCAGCTGCATGCCACTCGACCCACGCCAGCGTCTTCTATCCAAAGATATCTGCAAATGGTCTATGTAACCTAGACACACTCTTCCAAACATCTGCTCCTTGTCCATTGTCCACTCATTGTCCACTTCTTTCTGTTTTAAGATGTTTTCAGTCAGTTATAATAATATGCTCATGGTCAAACTATAGATATCGCTGCTAGACTTTTTAGACTATATTTCTCATGAGCCTTAACCAGCCATTGAAAGGATTCTTGTACTACTAGTGTCGCTCATGAACATCAAGAGACATGTAGTCCGAAGCAATTGTAATAATAAACATGAAATGATATATTCAGAGGAGCCACAAATGGGCTAAGTCGTAGATAAATCTTCAGCTTCTGCAGGACTACAACCCACACAAAGCTCTGCCAGGCTTAAAGGACCACTATAGTGCCAGAAAAACATACTCGTTTTCCTGGCACTATAATGCCCTGAGGGTGCCCCCACCCTCAGGGACCCCCTGAGGGTGGGGGCTCTTTTTTCCAGCGCCAGGCGGGGAGCTTTCCTCTCCGCCTCCGATCCTCCCTTTCGGCTGAATGTGCACGCGCGGCAAGAGCTGCGCGCGCATTCAGCCGGTCTCATAGGAAAGCATTCATAATGCTTTCCTATGGACGCTTGCGCCTCTAGCGGCTGTCAATGAGACAGCCACTAGAGGCTTTGGAGGCTGGATTAACCCATTTATAAACATAGCAGTTTCTCTGAAACTGCTATGTTTATTTAAAAAAGGGTTAACCCTAGAGGAACCTGGCACGCAGTCCACTTCATTAAGCTGAAGTTGTCTGGTTGCCTAGAGTGGTCCTTTAAAGCGTGCAGAGAATCAAGGGAGTTGTGGTTCTGCAAAAGACGAATATATTAATTTGCCCAATCTTGCTATGCTCTAAGGGAAACCATCCCAGGGGGAAAATTAAGACCTAATAAAACCGTCACTGAAAATGAAGCAACGTTATATTTCTGAGTTCGTTTTCATCCCAATATAAGTCTTTATTTGCCGCACCTCATGCACTCCCCAAAACAATAATGCATATTATTATAAATCACACAGAAAACGGATAAAAGGGTGAGATTACAGGTCAGTCTCTCTTATGTTTCCAGGCTTCCCAAACAGCTCAACGCCTTTTCTCCAAGTCTCTTTTTTCAGCATGATCCTCGGTGCTCAACGGATCCCTAAAGAGTGTGTTTGTCTATACACTGCAATCAGATTGTACAATCATTTAATTCTCTCCACAATAAGAACAAAGGCTTTCCCAGAATGCAAAGCGCCACAAAAGTTACAAAACATTATCTGTAGCGCTGGCCTTTTGTCCTGGCAGAAGGTAAGTATTGTATCAGCACATGATCTGCATACACGGCTCCAGTAATGAAACGACTGCGAGAGGCGCTAACAGAAAAACACAAACTGCTCTTCACTTTGGTTCTTAGAAACAGGAACAGAATTGCGTGTGATGCCTTTGAGGAAATGTGTGGAATAAGTGTAAAAAAACTTTTTTTTTTTTTAAATCACCACATTTGATGAGCTTGTCTGCTTTGTAGAATTCCTTTGGCGCCAGGATCGGGGTCTCTTACTTCAAAGTAAGGGGGGGTTATTTTAAAAGAGCAGTTCTGGGGCAATCGCCATGGAAACCAAAGGAATGTCCACATTGTCCTCTCTGCTTGTGGAACTTCTGCTCCAAACCGGCTGCTTATACAGAACCTAGTTTGTATTTATAGCCTTCAAGGAATTTTTGGGATAAAATAACAATGAACTGTGTACCCTCTAGGGCAGATTTTGATTGTAGCAGAAATACTTTAAGTGATGCAGTCACTCGTGGCGTCGTCACGCTGTTTGCAAAAACCCACGCAAGCTGACAAGTCTGCTTATCGGATGGAGTTTGTATCTCTTTCTCATCATATTATCGTCTTTGATTCACTTTCATGATGAAACTGTCCAGAGGCATGTCATGGGTGTACTGTCGGGGATACAAGAAAAAACAAAATGGCACTGTATGGGAGGCTTTTCAAGACTGCAGATACTCCATAGATCTTCCTGCACATGCACTACAAGATGCCTTAGACATTTATTAAACATAATGCGAAAAGACTCCTCTCAGCTGTCGTGGGTGACCTCTGATATCCCTTAATCCATCGTCAAAATTGGGGGGGGGTTGCAACAAAAGGTAGAACTTAAAATAGCTTTAACAGCCATATTCTGCCAAAATGTTATATAACTGGATAAAGAGGTGTGTTTGATCTTCAATATGTCGTTTTTTAACTATTTATTTTCACTCGAATGAACTGCCTGCCAGTTTACCTAAATTCGCACCTTATTCAGGATCTTCGTAACAATTGCCGTAATATCTTTCTCTTACAGTAATGGCCACCATCGCATCCCCCATTCATAATTTGGACAGCGATAGAAACACGTAGCAGCGGGCCTAGCATTAGCAACATTACTTTGAAGATGAATTTAAGGATAATTTTAATTTCGCTGGGTCAGGTTTAGTGGGTTCATTTTTCATCGCGGGAATTTGGTCTCCATAACCTCCTAACCCAAAGCAATGCGTATTGATATATATTGTGTGCAGTGACATAATGGTCACCAGTGGAACCTGTCACCTAAACTGTGTTTACAGAGAGATTATCAGGTATGAACGAGTCTTTTACGTCATATTCTCCTCATGCCGAATTAATTTCAGACTCAGTGTAATATACACAAAGGTCACTAGTCAAAACAGACTAAATCTAACAGTGAATTTTGTTAAACTGAAATCTAAATGTGTACCATTAAATCTATAATACATTCTCCAATACAGTTCTAATTCCATCTGTACTATTTTAGGTCTTCATTTAAATGAATCTCTAATCTATGAGTCACAGTTTTGAGGTTCTGGTTAAAGGGACATTGCAGGTACTGTAACATGTTCATCTAATTGGTTAAGTGGTTATAGTGTCCGCAGTCACCTGGCGCTGTCCTTTCATTCAGTGTTAAACCATTTCTAATAAGTAAATCTGATAGGATAGCAAAAGGCTTCCCATCATCAAGAAGAGAAGCAAAAAACTAACAAAACAAAAGACAAAATATAGCGTAAACTTACAACCCCCAGAAACAATATGAGTAAATCTAGAAAACCACTTATTTCACCAAACTGTTAAAATGATCCCATCCAGAGCTGAATTCCAGAAATAGTGGCAAAAAATATATATAAATGATAAATAACATAACACACAGGATTAACTAGAAGCAATAAGAATGCTCGTATAGAGTCCACATATATTAATATAGCTTACACATTGATCAGCCACAATATTAAAACCACCTGCATAATATTGTGTAGGTCCCCATTGTGCACCCAAAACAGCTCTGATGAGTCAAGACATGGGCTCCACAAGCAGGGACGTATTAGCCGCGAGGCAAACAAGGCATTTGTCTTTGGCGGCATTTTTCAGGGGGCGGCAAAAAACGCCGCCCCCCAAATGCCCAGGGCAAATGCCTTGTTAGCTTCGCGGCTAAGAGACATGCTGGGCGCTGGTTACTGGGCGGGCGGGCGGCTGGCGAGGGAGCACTTCCTCTGAGGAGTCTGCTCAGCTCCCTCGCGCGCTGCAGAGTGAGGCTGGGAGCCGGAATATGACGCCATCAACAGGGCTCCCAGCCTCACTCTGCAGCGCGCTCAGAGGAAGTGCTCCCTCGCCAGCCGCCTGCAGCCACTGGACCACCAGGGAGAGAGAGAACCCCCCCCAACACTCCCAAAGGTAAGGAGGCTGGGGGGGTGGGTTAAATTAAAAAAAAAAGTGTTAATGTGAGTAATTGTGTGTGTGTGTCTGACTGTGTGTGTGTGTGTCTGACTGTGTGTGTGAGTGTGTGTATGTGTTTGTTTGTGACTGTGTGTGTGTGTGTGTGTGTGTCTGTGTGTGTGTGTGTGTGTGTCTGACTGTGTGTGTGTGTGTGTCTGACTGTGTGTGTGTGTGTTTGTGTCTGACTGTGTGTGTCTGTGTGTGTGTGTGTGTCTGACTGTGTGTGTGTGTTTGTGTCTGACTGTGTGTGTGTTTGTGTCTGACTGTGTGTGTGTGTTTGTTTGTGTCTGACTGTGTGTGTGTGTGTGTGTTTGTGTCTGATTATGTGTGTGTCTGTGTGTGTGTGTGTGTGTGTGTGTCTGACTGTGTGTGTGTTTGTCTGACTGTGTGTGTGTTTGTGTCTGACTGTTTGTGTGTATGTGTCAGACACAAACACACACACAGTCAGACAAACACACACACAGATGCTTAATTTGAAGGCCATGGCAACATGTTGATCAGACCAGACGGGCTAGCCTTTGCTCCCCACATGCATCAATGAGCCTTGGGCGCCCATGACCCTGATGTCGACCCAACCATAATGCTCCCCACCATAATGCTCGGTAGGGACACGTCCAACCTGGTACCCCTTACGGTTCACCATAAGAGACAGGGGAAGATGAGACCCAGCCATTATCCCCTTACTTATCTATCTGCAAACTATCTCCCACCCTTTTTGGCAAGGACATGGCCCCCGCCACAAACCCTGCTGTTTTACCCCTAAAATCAGCAGGGGGTCCCATCCAAAAAACCCAAGGCCTGTTCCACCGCCTCCTGGATCACCAAATTAAAGAGGTCAAGCCCAACCTCAGTCAAATGTACTCCATCCGGGCGAAATAAATTTGGTGCCTCCTTTTCAAAGATCCGATGGCGAATGGGTATACCACTAACCCCAATGACAAACTTTGAAACCTGTCTATTGAACTTCTTGCAGTAACACTCTAGCGCACTTTGGCAGCGGGCCTGCTGCCAATAGTTCCTAGCCACTATGTCTGACCAGGGTGCAAGATCAATATCTGGGACAAGTCCCTTTTCACCATGTCCACCAAACCCCTGACTGGCACGGTCCCCAGGTCATTGCCCCCCAGGTGGATGACCAAAATAGACGGCGTCCCTAGCAGACCAGAGTCTGGGAGGAGCCAGACCCACCTCATACCCCTGGCGCCAAACCACCATACCTCCGCAGTTAAAGGCGTAAAACTGCGAAGCTCCTCTCCTAATCGGACTGCTGCTCGCTGCCGTGCCCAGTGGATGTAAAAGTGCCTGATCAACCAGACCAAGAGAGAAACCGAACCTGAGGAGAAAAAACATTTAGCTCAGCAGACTGGCAGGATGCACATAGGAAACAAACCTCCTAGAGTCCCACCTCCCTATGCTCTGCACCTCCTGATCTGGCATACCCAGCCAAGAACCCTCTGTTGCGGCGCCAATTTGGAAAGAGTGTCCACCAAACTCATCACCTTTCAAGCCCAACGCAGCCAACCCTAAACGAAACATGCGGAAGCTCCCATCCTCATGCACCAGTATAGGGCCAGACAGTGCAGGGCGAACCCCACAAAAAATTCAGAAAGGAGAAGACCGGCCAAGTATCCAACCCAGGGACCGCCGACAGCTGAATCCACTTACCCATTCCCGAACACGTCAGTCTTGGAGCGGCGAATCCTAAAGGAAACCCGGTCCTGCCATCCCGAACATCATGGAAAAGAATCCCCCCAACGGCGACCTGCTCGGACACACCAACTCCCCAATCCTCATGGCACAGAAACACCCCTGTGGGAGCACCTGGCATAACTGTGCCAAGAGGGCACCCAATACTGGCCTCTTAGAATCCACAGAAACCCGACCCCTGCGCAGACCCTTAACCGCTTGCCGCACCAGAAACTCTTTGGTCTCATCTCTCCAGCCTTGAAATTTAAACAGAAAGCTCAGCCCAGACAAGTGCAAGGACACCGCCGAAGGCCCTGCAATCAAGTGGGCGATTCCTGAAAGACCCCTACTTCCGACTCAAGCTCGTGTCATTCTGCCCATACCTTCGAATACCTGGCCCACATGGAACTAGACACCGATGCACTAACCAGTTCCATCAGCCTGCCGTACCCAGGGACCACAGCTCCACCGGACACAGGCAACCCTCCTTGACTGCGTGAGGCGCAGCCGCCTGGAACTCCGCCCACTGTGAACGAGAGAGAGCATCCGCAATCACATTATGAACCCCCGGAACATGCAGCGCCCTACAAGTCATATTTAGGCACAAGCACCATAGCACTAAGCTCTGAAGCAAATGGACAACCGGCGGAGAAGAGGCAGAAAACTGGTTAATCGCTTGCACGACCCCTAGATTGTCACAATGAAAAATGACCCACTGGATCCCGCAATTCCAAACCCCACAATTCCAATGCCACCACGATGGGGAAAAGCTCAAGGAAGGCAAGATTTCTAGTCAGGCCTGAGGCGCACTATGGCTCTGGCCAAGTATCAGTGCACCAAGGCGACCCCAAGATTGTCCCAAAGCCGATGGAACCTGAAATGTCCGTACAAAGGTGAAGATCCGAACTGGACACCTCGGGTGCTTGCCAATAGGACCTCCCTACATCGAAAACACAACCAAGGAGGTGATGGCAGTCCGGATGAACAGGCAATAAGCGAAATGCCGATTCAACGTCTGCCTTTGCCAGGAATGCCCCAGGGCCCGCCGCCCTGAACAGCAACATCGAATGAAGCATAAGACACCCGACACAGCTCCACAGAGATATCATCATTCACAGAACCCCCATGAGGGTACGACAAATTATGAATAAGGCAAAATTTCCTTGCCTACTTCTTGGGCACCACGCCCAAGGGGGACACGCGCAAATGGAGGGCAGTGGAGGAACATCAAAGGGCCCTGCCACATGCCCCAGTGATACCTCCTTCCAAAGCTTGTCTAGGACCACCTGAGGAAAGTCCTGCACTGACTTCAAGTTCCGAACTACCCCCAAGGGTGGGCACTCCGAGAAGGGAATCCAGAACCCATGTTCTTGGGTAGAACCGTAGTGAGTGCATGGTTTTAATCCTTTAGTTTTGTTACAATTTAAAGAGTGTTACTAGGGTAGCCATAGGGAGACACGTTTTATTACAGCATTGCATTAAACCAGGCTTCCCCAAACTCCGGCCCTCCAGATTTTGCTGAACTACAACTCCCATGATTATATGAATTAAATATATAGGCTGAGAATCATGGGACTTGTAGTTCAGCAGCATTTGGAGGGACGAAGTTTGAGGAAGCCCGCATTAAACAGTGAGACAGGCAAGCATCTTGATGTTAAGAATATTTGGCTAAAATAACGCCAGGGGCTAAAAATCCCATTTCCCCCTGAAGTGTTCCTTCCAGGTTAGATCAGTAAAGAGTAAGGTGGGAGAAAATAAATAATCAAACAGAGAGAGAGAGAGAGACAAGTGATAGAAAGAAATGATTGAAGAGAGAGAAAGGAGAAAAGTTAACAAAACATGTGAGGGGCTTTCTACAGTTTTTTTTTTTAGCAGACACTGTTTTGCTCATCTGAGCACCTGATTCTAGTGTTTAACCACTGCTAATAAATTTTACATTTTTTTTCTTCTAAATTTTAACTTTCCGTCTTTTCTTTTTTCTCTGTTATTTGATGTATTTTCAGTGCTTTGCCGAGATAAGGGGAACTCTAATCTAGATTTCAATTTTATACAGTTCTGCACATTTGTTATCGATTTGATTGGAAAGAATAACTCGCCCTCGTCCCCATGCCGATCATACACCATCATTCTCACATGCTGAGCGTAGCAAAACCAAAGTATGACCAGGGAACCGGCAAAGACAAATCTAACAAGCGATATCTGTATGATATATAAGAAAATAGATGAAGACCAGCCACGTACAAGACAACAGAATATGAATCACACGCGCAGAGCAGATCAATAGGATTTTAAAACCGTAACGTTAAACACATAACCCTGGCAGCGCTATTTGCTGTATCTCAGCCAAACATGACACGGAGAAAGGTAGAAACACAGAATCCCATACTTCATGATAGATTCCCTTTAACTAATGGAAAAAAACAGTTTAATAGAAAAACGACTGGAACTGTCAGACAAAAAACAAACAACGTGCCGATACGCACAATCATAGTGCACGATAATGGATGTGTTTATATATAGTAATAAATAAATAAATATATAACCTTTGTCAGACACTATACCTCTTTTCTACTCATTAAATTGAGCTCTATTTATCGTTTCCTTTTTTTAAAGAGACACAATACACAGGAATTGATAAAGCATTAAGAAATTATGTAAAAATACAAAACAAGTGACTTAACAATTTAAACTCTGAAAGTTGCTGCAAATGCGCATGTTCCAAGTTTCAGCAACAGACAGATCCCTCCTTAACTAGGAAGAGGCTTCACTAAACAGGAGCCTGTAATTCTAGTCTATGTTTTTTTTCTTTTTCTTATCAACTTAATCTCTGTCCAAGAGGGGTTTATGGGATAAGCATTTAGCACTGATCACTAGCGAAGAGTTGGTCTGCCTATTCTAGTGATCATTTCTTATAAATCCTGCAGTTTTGTGAACCGGACTGCGTGCAGCGACTGACGGGGTGCCAAGGCTCACCTATCTCCAGGTGAGGAGAGAAATATACAGCCTGGAACTAGCTGTTTCTGCAGTGAGTGTTTTATGAATGCACACATTGGACCATTTCACAGAGCAATAGAGGAAGTAAATATTAAGCGAAAAGGAGCAGAGATATCGCTGCAGCAATATTTATAAATCAATCTTATAAACCGTTCCCATCAATGAGAGTAAATTCACGGCACTCTCTGCATCGTAATTTTAGCAATGTAGTTATGTTGCTTAGAGGGAACCTTTAATTTACACACAAAGGAAGATTTGGGGTTTTATTACTAAACTTAGCGTTTTAGGTATAAATGTTGTAAATCTGATATCAGGTCAGTGCAGCTTGATGCTTGATGTTTATTATCCCATCGAAACCAAAAAGCACCCAACTTAAATCCAAAACAAATTGTGCATTATTCTCCAAAAAGTAAGAAAAGGCGAATTGCGCGATCCAAGATTTTTTTTTGTTTAGTTTTCAAAGCCGTTTAGAAGGAACGTTGCATGACTCACAACTTTCCATCTAGTTTAGGACTTGATTTAATATCTTTGCATGAACTTTTAAAATATATATATTTTTCAAACTATTACAGTATTAAACAAAACTTCATTTTGAATTCTCACTCTAGTAGATAAACCTGTGTATGAGTTGCTGCATTGTATACAGTGTTTTGTATGTCATGCTGGTTAATACAGAATATATATATATTTTAATAAGTCCCTATTATAAGAATGCGATTTTCCATGCATCCACTGCGTTTCCTGACGCTGTGAACACATGACACATCATGGACTTGATTTAATATCCATTAGGAGTCGGCGCTCTCGATTCTCAGTAATAAAATATTATTTTTGCAGTTTCAGGTAAATAGAGCAGATACGGTGATTTTTCCTCTGCACTTAGCATGAGAAAGGAATAATTTATTGTTGTAAAATACCAGCCGTAACCATACAAATAAATAGATTGAGGGGGTTTGATAAAATAATAATTATTTTCAAGTAGCAGAGCTTTGGCAGCGAGACTCAATGCACTTCAGTTATATAAACTGCGGGTTGTGCTCTATATAGATATTATATTCCAGGCATTGAAATGCTTACAAATGGATATAGAAATTCTATAAGATGCATAATGCATTTTTCTTTCCAAGTGACTGCTAAATTTACATAATTGTTTCCTTTTTCATTTTTGAATGTTTGCAATCAAGTTCTCTGTGACGATGATTCCAACGGTTGTCTGAGACCTCTCCATGTAGCCCATCAGCTGTGTTTCCCAGACACATTTCCCATCTTCGGGGCTCCCAACTGTCCCGCTTTTGGCAGGAGAGTCCCGATTTCGGAGTCCCGCTGTGCCAATTTAGTTACCTGATGTCTGACATCCGGGGATACCAGGGGCAGTCTTTGAGACACTAGGACCATACAGAGAACACTTCAGCACAGCTATCTGCATTGTCCTAAAGGCTGTGCTAGATATCAAGCTAAAAATACCTCTTCAATGAGTGGACACGGCCACCATTATGGCCATGAAGGTTCTCCCACCCATGTCGAATCCATACCTTACAAAGTTATGAGATATGCGTCTTCATGTTTATGATGAAAAGTACATGAAGTCCTACCTTGTGTATGAAGCATTCATATGTTGCCTAAAGGAAATCAACTGATGTCCCCAGACTGCTCCTTTAACTCTCTGGGTGTCAGATTGCACTGTCTGCTGTTCTGGCACTCAGAGGGTTAAATTCTGCAGAACCACATGTAGCTCCATCAATCTATATGTAGATTTTGTGAAGATTCAAACAATCTATTATTATTTCAGCTACTGTCTGTAAATACTAGCTTGAAACCGGCTGTAAATATTTAATCAACATATTTTGCTGTCTGCCGTGAACACAAAAATATACCATTTTACTATTAACAAGACGCTACAAGGAATACATGGGTGAAATGCTTAAAGAACTGTCAAGAAATTTTATTTTCTGCTAATATTGATATATCTAACTTTCCAACACTGTAAAGTCTACATCCCTTATCGTAATTAAGTTGTTATGGTTCCAGTAAGTCCCAGGCACTGGACTTCGGACAAAACAGAAGGAGAGGGGTAGAGTTAACCAGCGCTGGATTCAACACTTGTTAACAATTTAACCCCTAAAGTAAGTTGGCACCAAGAACCTCCTACCACCATAATAACTTAATTCGGATGAAGTTGTTATGGTGTTTGTAGGATACCTTCAAATATGATGAAATGGCTGGCAGATAATAGCTTCTGTGTTTAGACAACACCAACCAATGAGCCACACAATCATAGGATCCCTGCCTTAACAGGGGGGAGAAACTAATTTCAGTCGTTTTTATGGATTTTATGGAGATCCCATCCTGTTGTTTGATGCTGAATACAGGACGACATGTTGTACATATTACCTCAATGGAATGGTTGCTTTGTCATTTGTCATCGAAGTGTCAAACTGTCATCATCTCAATAATGGAGAGATTGCCAATAGGATGTGCATTCTGATTCCACTGGTTTCCTTGGAAACTGCCCGACTTTTACATCTCTGCACCGCATTTTGGAAGATGACACTTTGATAAATCTCCCCAAGAGGTTTATTTTTTTACAGTAAAATTAGTCTCAAAATGCAAACGGTGCACAGAGATGGACGAACATGTTATTCTGTGAAACTAAACACGAAAATATCAATGGACACAAATATGCCCAATACATTTACAAACTAATGTAATGAAAAGATAAAACTAGAAAAAAAGGAATAAAAGTGAGAAAAATAAAGTTCTGGGAAATCAAAGTCGATACAGTACTTTTTATTTGCACAAATCTCAACATAGATTATTTATTTTGCAATCTAAAATACACTCAGATACTAACGGTAGTTACTAAGACGTTAAACTACAAATTTAATTATGTGTGAATGCTAGTGAGTGTGTTAGTTTGTGTGTCTGTTATTGAGTGCGTGTCTGCTAGTGAGTGTGTGTGTGTGTGTGTCAGTGAGTGTGTGTGTGTCAGTGAGTGTGTTACTGTGTATGTCTGTTACTGAGTGTGTTTGTGTGTGTCTGTTAGTGAGTCTGTTTGATGTCTGTTAGTGGGTGTGTGTTTGTCAGTGAGAGTGTATGTTTTGTAAGTGAGTGTGTATGTGTGTCTGTCTGTCAGTGAGTATGTATGTATGTCGCTGAGTGTGTCTCTGTCAGTAAATGTGTGTGTCTGTTAGCTAGTGTGTATGCGTCTGTTCGTGAGAGTGTGTGTGTTTAAAACCCCTTTAGCACTTGCCTTTTTCCATTGCTGGACTCCCTTGGCGCTGGGGATCCCTCCGCCCCTCAGCTCCGAACGCGCATGCGCGGCAAGAGCCATGCGCACTTTCAAACCGTCCATAGGAAAGCATTACTCAATGCTTTCCTATGGACGTCCAGCGTCTTCTCACTGTGATTTTCACAATGAGAATTGCGGAAGCGCCTCTAGCGGCTGTCAGTGAGACAGCCACTAGAGGCTGGATTAACCCTCAACTGCTATGTTTTCAGCTGCAGGGTTAAAACTAGAGGGACCTGGCACCGAGACCACTTCATTGAGCTGATGTGATCTGGGTGTCTGTAGTGGTCCATCTGCATGCACTGGCGTACATACCTCGGTCGCAGGGGTCGCAGCCCTGCGACCAGGTGCCCGCCGCCATGTGTTGCGGCCCCGAGGATCAATTTTCGCACCGGGGCCCCATGGGTCGTGTTTACGCCACTGCTATAACTATTTGCCCGTTTGCTGCTAGATCATCGTTACCTTACAAAACAAGCAAGTGAACGATAATTTGTGAATGTGCGTCCTACTGGATCCAAATTCTAGTAAATATAGACCTTTTCTCTGTCCCAGACTGTATAACAGGAGATCCTGCCTGCTAGTAATAAGAGAAGTGGACTAGCGAGTGCGAGGGAACTAGCACGTCATTAGATGCATGTCTGCGCAGTATGCCCTTGGTTAGTCATCCTGCATGATATGCAGACAGCCTGACATGCATTCACGCCAGGCTGACCATCTAATACTTTATGCAGACATGCTCCCTTTTAGGGCATGTGTGTCCCTTTGGTCGGTTCTGGTTACGTGATTTGCGTCAGTGGCCCCACCCTTTTACCCCGCCCACCGAAATCCTGCTTCACCAGACACTACTGTTAGCATAGCATAGGGTGTGTGTTTTCTGATTGCTATATCCTGTGAGGTATAACTGTTTCGGTGTTTTCTGTCGATAAAATTCTTTAATTAGGACCATAATTATTGTCAGCACCAGGCTCAATGGGCTCTTAATCCAGCCCTGAACACAAGGTGGGCACAACATACAGATATCTATAAAATAAACAGAGCTAAGTGCAATACAGAGATTACCATACCACAAACAGAGCTGAGAAAAAGAGATAAAATACACAGAGCTGGGCACACTAAGGAGATACCATAACTATCCCGCACTGCCAGGATCAACGTGATGGATTATACTGAGCTGCAATACAGTGCATGTCTCTGTAAAATTTTCCATATCTCACTGTCTTTCTGTCTCTTCCTAGATCTCTCTTATCTCTCCCTTACATGATCTCTTCTTCAGTAGTGCTCCTGCCACGATAACGTAAGCTTTCTATTAAATATTGCTGCTGTTAGGAAACGTCAGCTACTCCATTAGCTTTTAGCACACAGCACAGTGTGAACATGGTTATAGCATAAAGATGCTGATAGGATCCAAACAAACCAGATACTCCTGACTATTAGCTCTCTGCAGACATTCTACACAGGGTTAAATCAGCCAAATAATGATAGACTCCTTATTACCTTTCCAGCTGGCGATATCATTAATCTGCAGTGGTAATATGGAGCCAAAACGTAGCTGACATGGTTAAAAGAAGCAACAATCATTACAGATTAAAACAGATTGAGATCAGAATCTGATCAGTCCTCAGAGTCACAGCCCCAGTCCTGCAGTTTGAAGCTTCACAACTTTTCAACTAGCCACAGCATGAGTGTCTCAGGTCTCAGCTGTAGAGTGGCTGAGCACCTTAAAGAAGGTGGTGGGTATGTGCAGTAGGAATTGTTAAAACTATTAGTGACCGGCAGCATGCAGCTTGTCAGATGACCCCTGGGCCTACCTGGCTTTATATATATTAATTATTTATTTGAGTGAATTCCCTTGATTACTGAGCCCTCAGGCAGTCTCTGGGGCTATTGGGGTAGAGAAAAAGATAATATTCTAAGCTTACATTTGGTAGAGGCCATGAGCTGCTGTGCTCTCTCTGTGCTACTTCTCACCCCATGGTGCTATCAGCCATTGACAGACTCTGAATAGAGAGACCAATAGAATGCCTCCACTCATGGACTGCTAGTTCTGCTGCTGAAAGGCAACTCAATGGAAGCAGCTGAAAAGGGCACTAGGCATGTGCGACGCCTGCAGAAAGTGGGCAGATTTCAAACCAGCCCAATTCTTGACATGCCTGGATACTCCCAAGTAAGCTTCTCCAAACAGCTACCAATAAGGGGGGAGGGCTCTGCAGAACTGAAACCGAGTACAGAATTAAAGAGACACTAATATTTTCCTACATTTTTTTGGTTTACCACCCTCCCCTTCAGAAAAAGAATCTTAGTGTTTCTATATTACTGCAAATACATTTGGTCCCCGCATAACAACTGGTGGGACACTGCCCCAAGTGCCCCTATGGACGAGCCTCCACTGGAAGTCAGAGTTAGGAGATAAGACTACCAGTTGGGTTTTAAGAGTTTGGAATTCATGTTTGGGTTTGCACTTGAAGTTTAGGAGTCAGGTTTATTGGTTCGGAGTCAAGTTTAAGAGATAAAAGTTAGGATCCAGGCTTATTGAAGTTATGGAACATCAAATATATGTGTTAGATGGACACAGAATCTGTGCACGTAGAGATTATATGAACTCGCTATTGTGAGGAGCACCCATACACTTCACAAATGTGTCTGTCAATCTCTAGAAATGGGACTCTGTATTTGTGTAAAACAAATATATATTTTGTGTGCATGATAGCATTGAAAGGTCAATATGTTAATCCCCCGAGTTAACCAACCCCAGCGTTAACAGCATGGGCAGGTCAACGTGGTAATTTCAATCTCGCATCAGCTGAGCCACAGGAGTGGATGCTGGAAGAGTCTACCAGCTCAGACACAATCTAACACTTGTCGGGACACAAAAATACTTTTGATGAATAAGTGAATAGCTAGTTATTCACTAAACTTAGAATTGTTGGGAACATAACAGAGAACTGAAAATGTCATAATAGCTGAAACTGAAAACATCTCGAACTCCATGTTTTCCAAGTTCAGCCATTGTGGCTTAACATGTAAAATTCTTTGGTCAGTTCTTGATTTTCCAAGTTTAGTAAATAACCGTGGAAATAAAAGCGATGATAGTTCTGGAAATAAAGTGTGAGCACTGGCGATGGGAGTTGGAGTTTGACCACAGCTGTAAGGCGGTATGCTACCCATCCATATATGTGTTGGAAGCTTTCTACGCAAAACGCGAAAAATGCAATTATAATTCGGTGCCCACTATGGGTCTCTAACGAGTCCTGCAATCTGTTCTGAGGCTCCTGGAAACCTCAGTCTTCCTTTGTAACTGAACAAACCACATTTAATGGCCTTTGCAGATGAAATGTAGCGAGGCTCTGAGCAGCCATAAAAAGGGGAACATCCCTCAGGGGTCATAATGAGTGGAATGACCTCTGTATATCCATGAATCTTACAGGGAGCTGTGTAGACTGTCAGCTCTTTGCCGTAACAAAGCATAGGCTTCCCAGTGCTCAGATGGCTGAAAGAAAATAAAGAAATTCAATATATTTTATATCGAACATCCTATTCTTATAATCATGGAACCGAAACATGGGGAGCATGATCTAGGGCAGAGATATCATTTTGTAATATCAATGGTGATCTAACAGCATTTAGATATCACAGGAACTGTTTATCAAAGTTACTTCGGGGAAATCTGAAGAATGTTATCTGTTCATATCGTGCACTATTTTATGGCATTTAAAGAGTTAAAGCAGAAATACAACCCATTAAAATATACCATAACTGAAATGCATTCTTACCAGCTGGTAAAAGAAAAACATTGATCCTAATTGTTTTATAGTATGAATAATCAGTGGTTTAAATGAGACTGGTAGTTTTCAAGCCCATGTTTTGATCTAAAGGCTTGTCGGTTAAGTTTTCCAAATGGTTTATTATTTTTGTATAAATGTTTAAAATAAGTCCTCAGCTCCTAATTTAATCCTGACTGATCACCGATCTCAGGTACTCACCTAAAGCACCCTCTGCAACTTACCTGCTTCTTAAACCCAACGGGTTGTATTGGACGATCCAAGAAAGCGCTAACTGCTTGATGCTCCTTACGTTTCAGACGAGGCCTAGTGCAGGCGTCAGTATGGAGAGGCGGCCACTGTAACACAGACCCGACTGTCTTCTTGCTGACCTGTTTCCACCCCTCTGGACAGGTGGGGGATTTTCTGTTCCCCACTGGGTTAAACCACGTACCTCTAGTGTGGGTCATAGAACGCTCCAACTTCCCTGCGCAACCTAGCATATCTTGCCAAGATGGCGGACTTAAATGTTCATCACACACAAAGCCTATTCTGACATCAGCTTTGTGGCGGAACCAACCTCGCCACTGTCCACTGGAGAGGCCTGGTTGCTCGCCTGCTCCCTTTAGACTATGGTCCTGCATTTTAAACTTTTA